TAGATTCAGTTGAGCTTCACGCTCGAAAGATTTGCTTGTCACTGTCTCTCCTGTGAACCCAATCGTACTTTTCGACTTTTCTGCCTGGCAACAGGAGCCTGGCTTGCCTTGCTGGAAAGGTTAGGTGGCCTTCAACAGCCTCGGGCGCCTCGGGCCAGCAATTAGCATTCATTTCAGGCCAACTCCATCAACTCGAAGTTGCTGCCGACCAGGACATGCACAACATCAGCATCTGCGTGACAGCGAGAATGCTTCTACATGTGACCCCGCCTTGACATGCCACAAAGTCAGTTCGACAATATCCGCTTCGGCCGTGGCCGAAGCAATCCTGCTTCGCTTCCTAGCAACCCCCTTGACCGGCCACCAAGAGTGCACTGTCATGATCTCCACCGGATTTCGCATTTCCGTATTTGTTGGTTTCTGCCCGCCGCACACCACTCTTGGCCCATCTCTTTCCCTGTTCTGCCTCTCCGGCCGTACCCCATTGGGCCGAGGCGGACGACGCGAAGCATTTAGAATAATCATGCGTGATGATGCTTGCAGACAGCATCAGCAAACGCCTGTCGTGCAATCCGGTCTTCAAGCAGCTATGCCGGAATCACAAACTACCCTTGCCACCACGAAGAACTTGACAGCATCAGCTGAGTATGCTGATGCCAGCAACAGCGATGTCGCATGTGCTTTGCGGCACTTGCCTTCTTCGCCCCCGCGGCCAGCAACTCCTCGAGCAACTCGAGCCCGCCGCTTGCTGCTGCTCTGAGGAGCGCCTGGTCACCTTGACTGTTTCCGGTTACGCGACCAAGTGCAGAACACACATCGCTCGGCAGTTGCGAAAGTGCGGATGCTCACAACGGGTCCAAGCCCATCACCCTCCTCATTCACTTCGTCCTGACAAGAAGATCTGAATACCGCGTTGTTGTGCTCTCAAGACTCTATACGCCTGGAAGCAGCGAAACATTCGACCCCAATGGGCTCGCCTGGCTGGCTCCCTCCCTCGTCAGGCGCTCTGTGCACTCGGCGTGGCCATTTGCAAATGCTTGCATGTAGGCCGTGTAGCCTTGCCAGGGACGAATGACGAGTTTCCAAAGCGCTGGACACCATTCGCTACATTTCAGCAGCTGCTCTAGTCCGACAGACCAAGGCCCCCAGCCATTCTTGTTCTTCATGTCCTGCCCGAGCTGAACGTGTCTAGGTAAACAGGAAAGCTCGAGGCGTGGCTGTCCTGCACAGTACTAGCAGCACCCATTCGGTAAGGCGATGCTGCATCAATCAAAGCACGCAAACACAAATGACAAAAAGCAACACAAGAACAAGTACCTGTACGCGAATGCACACAACCTCTGGTTCTCTCTCTCTCTCTCTCTCCCCCGCCTTGTCCGCCCCGGCAACCAAGAGGACGGCCAAACAGTCTGCTTGACCATTCCGTGCTGCATGCATCAGGGCCGTGTTGCCTTGCTGCCCGAAAGAAACAGCGCCCAAATGCCGACGAGCCAATCTCTTGCCAAGGCTATGGCCGAAGCTGTCCGTGACTTCCTAACCCCCAAGGGCCCAACATGCAAGAGTGACCCACCGAGAGAGCTTCATTGCGAGTGTGCGATGGGATACTTGCAAATCATCGCCTTTTGAAGGTGCATGCTAGCAACGTTTCAAGTCTCTTTCGCAACATCGAAGTTGCCAACATGTCTCGTGCGGCTTGTACGAAAGAAACAATGCGACCTCGCCGAATAGCAGCCCTGAGTCTTCCTTGTCCCCACAACTCCCGTGCCCTCCGGCTCCCTCACCTCCTCGGCTCCCTTCTCCAAGAGCTCTTTGACGAGCAAGGTGTGGCCGTCCCTTGCCGCCTCCATGAGGGCTGTCGGACCTCAGGCACACAAAGCCCCATGCAGCAACGCACACAATCCACCGACGCAAGTGTGCCCGCGACAGGCAAACCTCGACACATCGAACCGCCGCATCAGGCGGACTACATGCACCCACCGGTGTATGACTGAACTCACGCATCCTGGAAGCATGAAACAACAATGCATACTCGCCTACTTCTTGGTGTTTGTGTATATGGAAGCACGACACAACAATGCATCTCCCCTACTTGTTGGTGGCTGTTGGGTGTGCGACGTCGATGAAGGCTGAAGGCTACCTAAAAGGCAAATTCAACTTGGCGGCCAAGAAGTGCCAGGAATTTCGCGTTGTCGGCGGACAGCTCCAACACCGTTTTACCTCCAACAAACACGACATCCCTCTTGTCTGGCTCAGTTCAACTTTGGCAAAAGATGTGTCGGGAGCAAGGCCGTGACAGTGCTAGCTTGAATCTTCACCGGCAAGGCATGCTGATGGGCTTTGAGATGGAGACGCCGGATCGGAATCACCACTTCGAGGCCCCGGCCAGCGCTGCTTTTCAGGCCCTGGGGCATGCCATGATGTGTCACGGGGTGGAGGCTGCCAAACCCTCACAAGGGCCTACAGAAAGGTATCATTGATTCGGTTCAGAACCACTTGGCATCTTCAGAACATGCGGCTGGACCATCTCTCACCATCTGTGCCAGGTCACCCTCTTTGCGCCCCCGTCAAGGAGCATTTTGAAGGACTCCTCGTGGCCGCCCTGCATGGCGAGCATCAGCGCGGTGTGGCCTAGCAATGCGGTGTGCTTTCCGGCGTTATTGCGACAGACGGCACGGCTCGATGCAGCGTGGCCCAAGGCCCCGGCCCTCGCTGTCTTGGCAGTCCTACGAACCGGATTGCAAGGCCGCTCTGCTCCCACGGCACGCTCCTTCAGGTTCCGAGCCTTGTCGGCGCCCCCATCCAGGAGCTCTTTCAGAGACGCCGTCTTACCCTCCCTGGCCGCGAGCATCAAAGCCGTGCTGCCTTGGGCTCGGAGGGGTCAGCTTCGACTCAAAACGCGGAATCAACTGTTGGCACGCTCGGCAACCTTTGCCCAAATGAAGCAGATAGCAGCATGTTTACGGAATATGCTCTCCCCGACACGTCCTTGCTGCAGTGGGATTGCACGGCCTCCCTTATCCCGGATCCCTGCAAGGGCCCGGGCCATCGACGCATCTGGCTTCCTGGTTGCAGGGCGTTGCAGGGAGATGGTAAGGATCCGGTGAGATTTAGACCCTGGGCCATCTGCAAAAAATCTGCCTTCTCCGTGCCTTTGTCGAGGAGCTGCTTGATGTGGTCCGCATTGCCATGCTTCACTGCCAACATCAGGAACGTCAAGCCTGAGGCTCAGAGAATGCAAACGACACCATGCAAGCATCCCATGCACTCCAGCTGTGTCTAAAAGAATCTTTGCTAGCAAAAGCCGCTGATCTGCTCACCACATGTGCGCTTTTCATTGGACTCAGCGGATCAGGCTTGTGCTCCATTACGTAAGATTCGATGCTTGTCAAGAGCTGTCACCTGCCCCACCCCAACCCCAGCTCCAGAATCCAGAAACGAGAGAACCGAGAAGGGCTTCGAGGAGTCTCCGTCACAGGCAGCTGCTTCACCAAAGTTCGGGATCCGGCTTGGAGACCATTGCAGCTGAGGCCGCGACCAGCATCGCTCTTGTAGTCCTGCAGCAACGAGCGACATGTTACATGTGGCTGAGCATCTTCACTTCCCCCCCCTCTCCACCTAGAATACAGTCTAGAGCAAGAGACGAGCTTCCCAAACACAGGTAACTGTGCCCAGGCCCAGGCCTGGTACTGCTCATGAAGGTCGACCAGGAGCTCGAGGGATCCGGGCTTCTCCGCTGCAACTTCCAAGGCGACATCCAAGGCGGTCTTGTCGTTCTCCTTCAACCAGATGTTGGCCTTGTGGGGTTGGCACGCTAATGTAGAACCCTACACAAGCTACCCCCCTTTGCTGTGAGGCCCGTTAGATGTCGGCCTTGTAGGTCAGCAGTTGCCTGGCCACCGCCGTGTGACCTTGAGCCAGCGCTCGGTGGAGCGCATGCTTCCCGTCGTTCGTGGCGCTGTTGGGGTTCGCCCACGTGCGCAGCTGCTCGACGGCTTTCTGCACATTGTTGTCGTAGGCCCTCAGCGCTGCGAGAAGATCAATTAGGAGACGCAATTTGCAACACCGGCTTGATCACAAACCGGCTCCTGTGACAAGTCCCTGTCTGAGGCAAAGCGGAGCAACTACAGAGCAACTGAGTTGTAGACGCACTGACGAGCTCCGAGCTGTTCTTGAGCCGTTGTTGCACCACCTCGCTGAAAGTCTTCTTGGCTCGCTGCAACTCCTGTGGTCGCGGCTCCAGCCCTGAAGCTATGGAAGAAGACTCCACCGCTCTGGC